TTCACAATAGTACTATTTTACTGTATTTTACTGTGTCCCTGATGAGCAAGAATAATAGAAAATAAGAATGAATATATATGTTTTAACACAGATGAAAAACATAATATATTATAAATAAAATACTCCAGATGTATGTATTCCATTTCACACGGAATATAAACGTCTCATAAAACTTCATGGCCAGGACCTGCCATTTGCTGCTTCTCTGCTCATTTCTTATTTGTTGTTTAAAATGTTCTGTTAATGTCACTAAGCTCTCCAGACCAACTGAAACGACACTCAGAAACCTTGTGATGGCCCTTAAAGCAATAGTGTGAAACAGTGACATCAGATGGCAGATAAGCCATTAAGACTCATATAAAGTCCTCAATCACCATAATGTATATAATGCAATACAAATAAAGTGTGAATGGAACTGAACCTCTTAACTTATCAAATTACTTTAATAAGCGGTCATTAGAGTTGATCTCTTCCTGACAGCATACTTTACTCAGAATCAGACAATCCAGATGACACACATTTACACTAATGGAAACACAATGGAAAACTTCTGAGGAGTGTTCATGGTAACGTCCCACATAAGGCTGAAGGTAAGGCTGTCTGGTTATCAGACACAGGTGCTACCCTGTCTGATCTTTGACTGTTTGCTTTAAGGTTTATGCAATTTTTCAAGTTAACAAGAGGTCAAACAGAACGGTCAGACTCAATCCCTTCCATCAAATCATTATAAATGTGTAACCGTTCTTCTTTAAAATGGAATGTAGTGCTGAGAACTAATAGATCAGTGCTGTTGGTCTCATTGTGATCAGTTTCAGGTTCGCCTTTTCCATATAAAGATTAAAAAATTTGGATCAGGACTGAAATGGGATCATTTTACTGTCTCAACTGATGCTTCTATCCATAACATCTTTTATTAATAAAGAATCACATGGAACTTTCCAGTTTCAAATAAACACAAACATTGAACAAATTCCCCCTATTTAATAAGGCAATGGTATACGTACATGCAAAAACTCACAAACTGACACCAAAGTAGACCAAAGTTGATAGCCTTTCACTGTTGCAGCAAGTTTCACCGAAGACCCCCATCTCTTCTGTGGATTAATCAGAACATCAGTTTGTAAATTGTTTATTTTCCTTGTATGTGCTCTTTCAGCAAATGCACTGGAAGTTATTAATTTCTGGCATTAATTTTCCCTTTAGATTG